TTGGGTAAAATCATTATGCACTATGTAAACATTAGGGCAACAAAGGATAGAGTTACACTTTGGGTAAAATCATTATGCACTATGTAAACATTAAGGCAACACAGGATAGAGTTACACTTTGGGTAAAATCATTGTGCATTACGTAAACATTAGGGCAACAAAGGATAGACTTACACTTTGGATAAAATCATTATGTACTATGTAAACATTAAGGCAACATTGGATAGAGTTACACTTTGGGTAAAATCATTATGCACTATGCTAACATTAAGCAACACAGGATAGAGTTACACTCTGTGTAAAATCATTATGTATATGTAAACATTAAGGCAACGGAGGATAGAGTTACACTTTTGATGAAATCATTATGCATTATGTAAACATTAAGGCAACACAGGATAGTTACACTTTGGGTAAAATCATTATGCACCATATAAACTTTAAGGCAACACAGGATAGAGTTACACATTGGGTAAAATCATTATGCACTATGTAAACATTAGGGCAACAAATGATAGAGTTACACTTTCCGTAAAATCATTATGTACCATGTTAACATTAAGGCAACACAGGTTTGACTTACACTTTTGGTAAAATCATTATGCACCATGTAAACATTGAGGCAACACAGGATAGAGTTATACTTTGGGTAAGTTATACTTTGGGTAAGAGTTATACTTTGGTTATACATTGGGTAATTGGGAGAGAGTTACACTTTCCGTAAAATCATTATGCACTATGTAAACATTAAGGCAACACAGGATAGAGTTACACTTTGGGTAAAATCATTATGCACTAGGTAGACTTTAAGGCAACACATGATAGAGTTACACATTGGGTAAAATCATTATGCACTGTGTAAACATTAGGGCAACAAAGGATAGAGTTACAGTTTTGGTAAAATCATTATGCACTATGTAAACATTAAGGCAACACAGGATAGAGTTACGCTTTGGGTAAAATCATTATGCACTATGTAAACATTAGGGCAACAAAGGATAGAGTTACACTTTGGGTAAAATGT